ACCACCAGTGATATAGTGGGGAAACAATCACAGCATTGCACTCGGCCAGAAGAGCCTACAAACAGGCAGAGTCATCCGAAAGAATCCGGAGAGCTATACGGAGACCGGTACAATCCATCACCAACACATATGAGACAGGGAACAAGGTCTATTACAAAAGACCGGACAACCCTGAGTGGAAGGGACCAGGCTCAATTTTTGGCAGAGATGGACCAGTGGTGTTCGTTAGACATTTTGATTAGGAGGTATAGATAGCAGAACATATTATCTTGTCAGGGAGAAAGCGTACGCGTCTACTCACCTAGCGGTTTAGTAGTTATCTTCCTTCACATTATTAACACAATCCTATGATTTTATCAGTGTTTTATACATTACTAAGTCATACCGACTGATAAGTTACTGGGGGGTAGGTTGTCCCACGGCAGGATAAATCCCTTCTCTTTTATTGACAAAATCCAACTGTCTGACGGGATCTGTTTCCAGTTGTCCACATACTCTGCGAGACGACCTCCCATGGGAGATTGAGCCTCCGGTTAAATAACATACTCTCTTGATACATTCTCTGTAGAGAGTTGATTTTCGCCTCATTCTTCAATTCCATATCCTTCATAGTCTGGTCGGGGCGGTGGGGTAGCCTAGTGGTTAAAGCCTTTGCTCGTCACGCCGAAGACCCGGGTTCGATTCCCCACATGGGCACAATGTGTTAAGCCCATTTCTGGTGTCCCCCCCCCCCCCCCCGTGATATTGCTGGAATATTGCTAAAAGTGGCGTAAAACTAAACTCAGTCAGTCAGTCATAGTCTGGTTAACTGAGGCCTGCAGCTCCGTTTTAAATAAGGAAAACAAATCGTCAATAGCCGTCATATCCAAATGAGAAGAACCCAAATTTGATCAAGACCTTGACTTCTATTTTGGCTCCGATCTCTGAGGAGAAGAGGGTGAACCAGGGGTGGATTTCTTAGGTTTACTAGCCTCAGAACATGGAGAACTGTTACGTTTTTTAGACTGAGACCTACCTAGCTAACATCACATAACTTGGCCAGTACTGGCATCGCTCTGGCATAATGTACGACAGTATACAGCCAGTGCAGGACCAATACTTGTTTTCCAATAGTGGCCCGTTACAGACAAAACTGTACTGGGCCACATATGGGTGGTTACCGTAAATACTGCACCACAATACTGTGCTGGCCCAGTACTGGCGCAGTACAGGCAGTGCACTTCCTGTTTGGTGAATTGTGGGGGATTATCTCAGGACCATGTCGTCTGCTCAAGAGAGGTGGCCAAAAGGTAGTGTGTGGCATTTTCCACATTTATGAATGTAAATTGACTTAATCACAGTGACACTAAAATCTAACAGTATTTGTTGTGAATCACTTATAGAGACTACATTTTCAACTAAGGTTAAGTGTTGAGCTAAATTTTGAACAATAACATGCAGTATGAATTTTGCAGGAACAAGCACATTTTGAAACATTCAGTATGTATGTCATGTTGTTAGATCATGGAAAACCTGTTGACATGCCTCATTCAAAATCATAAATTCAAAATATGGACCATATTATAGTATTGTTTGATAATCATGTCATACTGAACTAATCGAAAGATTGAATAGTAAATCAAATTTGAAAATACTTAAAAAAGAGACTGTATTCTTGTGAATTGAATTTTGAAACTTCTGTTGAACAAGCTGATCCAGAAGGACAAGGAACTCTGAATCAATAAAAGGATGACACATCATGTTTTCATCTATTTTCATGAATTAAACTCTTATGGATAAACTTGTGTTTTCTTGTTTGTTTTTTTCTTTTTCAGAGTTTGTTTTCGTATCAGCTTCTTTTAAATAGTAAAAACTGTATTAAACATAACTGGGCCAGTGCCGGCCAAACTGTAAAGGGCCAATTTGTAACCATTACGGCTGTGTACTAGGCCATACTACTTTGCCTGTACTGGCCCAGTTCAACGCCAATGTGCCAAATAGTACAGGCCCAGTTCCCGGAATGCCTTAATAGGTCAGGAGCATTAGATATCATTGGAAAAAAATAGTAGAATGCTGAATTTTTCAGGAAAGCTTCAGAACATCATTGCCATGTACAAGATACAAAGTTCTGCAAATTCTACCTTGTGGCATTTTCAAAATGGCCGCCAATTTCAAGATGGCCACTAAAATCATTAACATGATTATGCAAACAGATATTTTGTAAATTATTATGCCATGTGATATATCAAATGAAAGCTCATCTCACAGGGATTCCAAATATATTGACATCATGCCTTGTTGCATTTTCAAAATGACCGCCAATTTCAAAATGGCCACCATTGTCCTTAAAATCATCAATATAATCTCACGAAAATATTTCTTTTTAATTAACAATACCTTGTGATATGTTAAAAGAAAGCCCATCTCACAAGGAATCTAAACATATTACTTTTAACACCGCACATGCATAAGACAATTAATTATGGCATGATAAGCACACATTTTATGCTTGTGCTTTTGGTACCAGACGTCAAAATGGCTACTCATGGTTGGTTAATCAAGACAGCTGTGGTCACCAAATTGATGGTAAATCACTTGTACAATTATCAATATCATCATTTTTAGTTAGTAAATTTTGAAACTCACTGTAATCTTCACTTTTTGACTGATGTATCATAAGGTCTTTTTGTCAATCACAACATCTCATTCTTCAATACTGAGTACATTTTGGCAGGTTGGCAATCCTCAACATCCAGTGCAAACAATGTGCACTCAATTCCTGCTCTTTGACAACTGCACCGTCTCGTGCACTCAATATGAACAAGGACCCCATCCTTGAATTGCCATCCCTACTCTGTTCGTGAAAGCTCATTCCCTTGCCATTGCTGTATTGTACACACGGTAGTTGTGGAATTTAGTGGCTGCTGAAGTTTGGGGAAGTGATTCCAGTTTGAAACCTGAAGAGGACACAGAGGCTCGATGAATGGACATGTTGTTGCGGTGTTCGTCCAGTGATGTTGAGTCCACAGCTCCATAGAGTTTAAGCATGAACATCTCTCCAACTTGTGCAATGCCATCATTTGAACTGCCAAATTGAAGGAAAACATCCAAGCAATCCCAATTGGACCTCTCCTGGAATAGAGCAAGAGCTTTCTTTTTCCCCTGATTGTAGATGCTGTATCACAGCCTGTTATTGCATGAACAAGCATCAGATGCTGTCATATATTGGGCATGGTTTTCTGTAAAGATCCATGTCATTTGTGGCTTGTGCAATCAACATTACCAACAGGGTCTGATTTGCTTACTTGACTGGCCCAGAAATGGCCCAGTTACGTGATGTTAGCTGGGTAGCTGCGTCCATGTTAAGCCACTCAATTTCTGACAAGTCGGAGCATAACAAACAGCGATCTACAAGGGTGCAGGGGGGTCCCCGTAAAACATGCTAAGCAAAAAGAGTGAGGGTCTAGATCGGACATAAATTTCTGACATTGAACACATTTACTTTTCGCCATAGCTGAAGAGAAAAACTGAGGGAAAAAGGGTGGGAAAAATCTAACAAAATAGACAATAATTTGTAGCAAGGATCAAATGTCGACACCACTAACCGACAAGATATGGATCAGTGTTGGAGACTGTTGATAGAAGAATTTTTACTTCAATCTTGTGTACGTGTGTACTGCAGACCATACAGAAAAATTGTGAGGTTCTTCAAACAACAATGGTGTGATGTCATGCCAAGGGGAGGTAACTCTATTGGTTAGGAGGGAGGCATACCACTAGGGATAGCTATGACTTAGGGTTAAAATTTTCATCTCATTTTCTGTATGTGTCTGTGGAAACCACAGAATTAAGGCAACCATAATCCAGAGAGAATGTTTCCGCTATAATCTTTTGATTTTCAAAGATGTATTCTTCCAGAACTTCTAATCCACAGGACGTGAAATGGTGCCTAGCATTCATTAGCCTTCACTACTGACATCATGTTTGGTATTGTGTGGGCAGGACAGTTGGAAGATAAGTACGACACAAGTTGTATTAGTTTGGTGACATTCCACGTGGCAAGATATAACCATTGTCCATGCATGGTTCCCAGAACATAAACAGGGATAATAAAGTGTATTTGTGCTAAAAAATTAGCCATTTAGTTAGTCTTTCATCTTGCTTTACATGAACAACAGCACAGGTATGATGATTCTGTGAAGCTTTTTACCTACAGTACTGTTTGGATCATACATCAGAGGTACAGATAAGCTGCGTATCTGCGTAAATTACGCAAATATGTATGTGAAAACTTGATTTCCATTAAGTCTATTGAGTACAAGTACGCTTGAATTTTTGTAAATACTCAATAAATGTGATCTTACATGCGTACACTAAAAAATGTCAAATCTTAGCTTGCATACCGGTGGATAGATAAAATAACTGAAGTATACTGAGAGGTTCTATTTCAGGACATGAATTTGACAACTTGCAGTCTTTCTTATCATTTTTCATATTACAGATCCAATATAAATAACACACACTAACATTTAAACTTTATTATATTTTCAAAATTAATGGAAAATGGCAAAATATCCAATTGAGTTTGAGTGAGGTGAATACAATATATTTGGTTACTCAAAGGAACATTAGGATACCCGATTGAGATGAACACAAGTGAGTACATAACTCAATGACCCAAAAAGTTATCTGTAGCTCTGTACATACATGTTTTCATCTCCAAATCTCTGACAGTTTCAGAGTTGTCAAAAATGCAACAACACCAGAACCCCAACAGCTTGGACAATAAATCAAATGTTTGTCTAGTGAGGTTCCGGATATTCATATAATGATCTCTTATGATCTAAACTGTAATCTAAAACTGTGCTTGATGACAAAAAAATGTGTGTGTGTCACCTCTGAAGTAGAATGTTACAAAACTTAATATCAAATGTACTTTTGCTGCAATTGAACTGTCTCTGTTCACTAAGGACTTTCAACACAAAGTATTGACCTCATTTTATCCATATAGTCTATCTCACCTTTTAGCATTTTGACTGCCACTGTCCTTGTCATCGAGTCCCTCTTGGAGTCAGGTGACTCCAATTCAGCTTTCATCACTCTGCCAAATGCTCCCTCACCTAGTGTTTCAATGAAGTGTATGCGAGCAAGGTCAATTTCATAGCCATCACTTATGAGTGTTGTCAGTTCCTCCTGGTAGCTTCCTGCACTCCCAACACTGCCATAAAGTGGGTTCAGTTCCTGTGGACCACAAGCAAGAGTGAGACTATAACAATATACATATAACAGAATATCAGTCATCACTAGGAAGTCACTATAAGGTAATACTGTGTCATAACAATGTTACCCATGTTATTGAGACTGAACTAGTCCAGAGCAGAAAGTTGGTAGTTCCATCTACAGCAGTGTCATAACAAAAGATGTTAAAGTGGTGGAATGTTGTTGCAGGTGTGGGCATTAAACATTTGACATTAGTAAATTTCTTTTTAAAAAAGAGCAAGAAGATATTATTTATCTATACCTAATGCAATAACGGAATCATACTTCAGTGAGTGAGTGAGTTGTGTATTACACTGCTTTTAGCAATATTCCAGCAATCTCATGGTGGGGACACCAGAAATGGGCTTCACACATTGTACCCATGTGGGCAATCAAACCAGAATCTTCAACGTGACAAGTGAACGCTTTAACAACTAGGCTACCCACTGACCCGAATCATACTTCAAAGTAAGATATTGAAAGATCTTTAAGACTGCCCCTGTGAAATGACAAGATATAGCATTTAGATAATGTTGACTTTGAGAAAAACAAAATAAAAATTGACAAGATGTCCAATTTTGAGATGATGTCCCATTAATTAGGATGCATATGAGAATGATAATAATGTTTTCCAAAACTTTTAACAAAATAATGCCTCTTAATACAGTGTGCATAATCCTAATATGCATTCATTGATATGTTAATAATCCTCCAAACATGTGACATTGGCAATAATAATGTATTTTTTTTTATAAAATTGATATTTTATATCTACTTATCCTGACTCATGCTATATTGCTTATCTCCCTTCTTCGAACAGTTAAGTGGAAACTTGAATCCCTTTCAAATTCCTGAAGCGAATATACAATCACTCACCCTGGAGATCCCTTGCCTTCCTGCCAAAATGCACTCACATGACCACAAGGCATCCTGTCCTCACTTTCTCAGATTATCTGCCCACACTAAGGCTTGCAGGGAAGCTGTAGTGGTTGAGAGGGGACGGTTGGGAGGGCTTCAAATCATGAGTCAGGATAAGTATAAAACATCAATTTTATCATATTTTTTCTTATCCTTATATATTGCTTATTGAATCCAACGAAAATAGGTGGTGGGTCAGCCACCTACGGGATTCTCTGTGACTGAATCGATAACGTCAGCGTTCGCTCATATACCCCCTGGGAACACTTCTTGCGGCTTGAACACGTCAATTTCTTTCCTGAAGACAATCGGGGCACCAACTTCTCTTGCATCCATAAAAGAAGTAAATCATATAGATTTTGTAGATTTAAGATAAACTAGAACGCCTTGATGTCTAGATATCTTGAACGACCCATATGTTAAGTTAAGGACTATTACCGAAACTGGTATCGTGACTCAGTATGTTAAGGTAAGGACTTTTACCGAAACTGAGCCTATATCACTCATACGCTGACTTATCTTGTAAGACAGGGGAACATGGACTCTCTGTTGGTGGCAGTGGATCAGTTGCCTGGCTCCAACGAGTTTGCATGACTAGGGTGAGTATTCTCATCATCTGGCTGGAATCGTGAGTTGCTGCACTACTACTAGTGGCCCGAACTGACGATAACAGATACATCTTCATAGTAGCGATATCCCATAGATAGTGGTTGGCTAACACAGTGTCTGACTTCCAACTGCAGCCTTCCATAATGGATGATAGAGAGCAGTTTCCATGTAGGGCAAATGTCGAGGCCAGTGCTCTAACTTCACATGGGTTCAATGCTTTAGGTGGCTCTTACTCTGCTTTATAAGCTCGTAGAATCACGTCTCGGATCCAAAATGAGACTTCTACAAGTCGTAGTGGGTGATAGTAGAATAAGTAGATGCTTGAACTTCCTCCTCCTAGCAGTCTTGTCCACATAGATTTTCAACACTCTGATAGGATAGATCTTGTGTATCATCTGGTCCTAATATAGTTAATAGTGCCAGAACATAGAACTGTTGATCCGGTTGGCCAGGTAACTGATTCTTGGCTATAAAGTCCTATCTGAGGCCTAGATGGACTGCAGCATGCTCTCTGGTGTCAAATCTGTACGGCCGAAGTCAAGGGCATGGATTTCTGACATTCTAGCAGCTGTAGGCAAGGGCAAGGAGAAACCGAACCTTTTGAGTTAGCAACTCAAATTTTGTCCATGTCAGCTGTTCATACACGACACTGTTGAGGTGCTGCAACACAAAGTTGAGATCCTAGTCTGGAGCTCTGAACTTCTGTTGTTGATCCTCCAGCTTGAACGATCTCAGCAAGGCAACCAGTTAAGGTTCTTTGGTTAGTTTAACTCCTGTATCCATGGTGATTACAGAGCTAATCGCCGCCAAGTAGGTTGATAGCGTCGATCCTTTCAGGTATCTAGTAGCTAGATGACACAGGTAGTCACAGGATGGCCGAGAATCCCTTATGAGCAGAAAACTGGTCAAAGCTCCTCCACTTGTCATCATATAGATTCCGAGTAGATGGACGTGAGGCTAGTGTCACTCCTTAGCTGCTCTGGTGGAGTATCCTCTTCTCCTTAAGCAGTACGTAATATGTTCTATGCGTCTAGCTGGAGTCCTGCCGGGTTGCCGTGCAGTTGTTTGGTGTGTGGGTGGTTTAGTAGATACGGCCAAGCTGGTAGTCATAGCGCTGACTCGCTGAAAAGCTCTATGAGGTCTGGGAACCAGCTTCTCGCTGGCCAGTAGGGTGCAACCAAAATCACTTGTAGCAGTGTGGTCTGGCTGACCTTGTTTAGCACTTGTCGTAACAGTATCAGTGGTGGGAATATGGCTAGGGCATTGAGTGCCCATGTTTGAGGATCTGGTACTGACGAGACGAACATTGTCACTTGATGGTTAAACCGTGTTGCAAACAGATCAATGAGGGGACAACCATGATCTACTGTTAAGAGCTGGAACGCTCCCGGGTGCAGCATCCATTCTGTGGGGGATGGACAAACCGGTCTGGATAAGGCATCTGCTAGGATGTTCTTTGCCCCTGGGATGTGACAGGCCTTCATGTGAAGATTGATGTCATCTCCAATGTCGAATAGCTGAAATGTCAGTTGTAGCAGCGGGGCTGATCTCATGAAGCCTTGTACATTTATATAGAAGGCTACTTTTGAGTTGTCAGTGTGGATCATAAGAACTTGATTTCTTAGTCGCTGCGCCCAAAGTTTAACTGCCTCTATTACTGCCTCGAGTTCTAGCTGGTTTAAGTGTAGAGCCCGTTCTGTCTGTGACCAAGTTCCTGAGGTGACTTCATCATTGAAGTGTTCTCTCCAGCCTTGGAGAGATGCATCCACGAAGTGATGAAGGTTGTAGCACTGCTCTCGTAAATAGGTTCCGCTGCAGACATTCAACTGGTCTGTCCATCAGAGTAGTTACGACTTCAAATGTTGTGGAAGGGCAAATTACTGGACATCATCTAGATGAGTTATCAGGAAGCATTGTAACGGACGTAGCTGCAACTTTCTTCTGCGCGTGATAGTCTGCCCCGATGTGAGTAGACCTAGGAATCGTTGCCATGCTCTAATGTGTAGTGGAGTATTGATGGCATCTGGTATGCAAACCTGGATGCTCAACCATCAGTCTTCTGATACAATAATGCAGTTCTTCGTGGTGAGGAATCTGATGCCAAGGAACTGTAGATCCCGGGATGGCTCTAAAGCCGAATTCAATTGGTTCACCAGCCAGTTTAACTGCTTCAGTAGAATGATCGTAAACTGCAGCTGACGTCTGAGTTAATCTGCATGTTGATGCGCCTGGATACCATCGTCTCGGTAGAATGCACTGTGCAGTCCCCGCTGATGTAGGATTGGCTTGGTTACAGGTGTAAATAGCCACGGAGCCAAAATTTCAATTGGAAGGACCTTCCATTGGTAGTGTTGCCTCTGGTAGAGGAACCGTAGGTATTTCCTCAACTTGGGATGCATTGGGATGTGTAGGTAGACGTCTTGCAGATCTATTCTGGCTAAGAAGTCGTTAGGCTTGATTAGAAGTCACAGTTGGGGCAAATGTAACATCTTGTCTGGTTTCAGTAAGTAGTCTTGGTTGAAACGCTTCATGCTGTAAATGAGTCGGAACTTTTCCTTGCAGTTCTTTTTTGGTACCAGGAAGATTGGAGAATAAAACAAGGGTGTGAGTCTGCATTGATCCATGATCTCTACAGCATTCTTTGCCAGCAGCTTGCAATAAATGTGTATCTGCGGGTTAACAGTCTGTGTTGGCATTGCCATTAAACTGTATCTATATCCCTCTCGTAGTACATCTACAATGTAGTCATCCTGTAGTATTCTCAAATTCTCCCTGTAGTGCCCTAGACGTCCACCCACGGTTCACGGACTTGATCAGCATCTGATCCTTCGGGTCTTGTGTAACCTCACGGGACATCTGCCGAATACCTCCATCAAACAGGGTAGGAGCTGCCCATGGCTTCCATAGGACAGGTTTGGTGTAAACATCCGGCCAGTTACAGGCTGAAGACGCATAGAGTGATGCCCGCAGATGTTGAAGCTAAGTGATCGGAGATGAATTCCTGATCTTTGCTCTGAGTGATGAACGTTGACATTCTCTCTTCCTCCATCTTAGGATTCTTGAAGGCACTCATAAGAGCCTCATTGATAGCCCTGGAAATGGCAAGCCAGAAGAACGCCCTCATCGTAGTGGTATCAAGTTGAGCCATCTTCTTGTCCTTAACCCTGTAGCTATGGGACTTCGAATCACTGATGAGATGTTAGTCCTCATCTATATCAGGCCTTGATAAAGTAGTCCATATTGTGCAGAGGGAATTTACGAGTGCTGAACAATGGTGTATTTTGCCCCTGTGCTTGGAAGCCTTTGTGAAGGTTTCCTTGAAGTTCTCAGGTACTTGTGATATCGGCATCATAGGTGGTATCACAATGGAGTCGAAATCCTCTGATGGGTTGGAGTCTCAGATAGGCAATCAGATCGGCAGGCCATCTGCAACCCAGGATAACACCTCCGCATCTGTATGGATGAAGGAATCCTCCGCTACATGATGACTGTCCTCCAACGTAGGTGCAGGGTTCGCGTAGTCCGAGAGGTTAGCGCAGGCCGAGTTGGTGCTGACAGACCAGTACTCGCAGGCTGTTTGGTTCAGGCAAGATGTAGGGTTCGTGTGGGCCACCGATTGATTCCTCTCCAAGTCCAACCTCTGTGCCATGGCTTGAACCACTCTCCTCGTAATATCGTCTGGGTTGAAGGATTCAGCATGGGATGTCATACATTGATGGTATACGATGGCAATAGGCTGCTCCGTAGGTGTCAGTGATGAGGTAGATTTTGCGAACGCTAAAGGATTATCAGATGGCTGCTGATATAGATGTGTATCACATGAATGCCTGGAAGGGTTCTCGCACCTCGGGGATAATGCTTCGAAACTAGCTGACTGCTGACAGAAGGGTTCGTGCACCCTGACGATCTAGTAGAAGAGCTGTGAGGTATAGACTGCCTTGACGATGTAGAAGATGAAGTCCGTCTGTTCTGCGCACCCTGAAGCCCTGGACGTCGTCGAATGCTGAGACGATCTGATGATGACCTCTGGTTCTAGGATTGGAGGATCGGAGTATGTAGAATTGTCTGCTTCAGCACCAGGCATCAAGTCGTCCATAATAGTAATTGGGCCTGTAGATCTCGATGATCTAGTAGACTGCGACGACCTGGCTGATGATGATCTGGATGTAGAGGGCTTCTTAGGAGAGGTAGACGACTTCTTCTTATGCTGCGGCTCAGCTTCTCTAGGAGGGAACTTCCTCTTACCCTAGGACTGAGACATTATCTCCGTAGATACGGATCACGCCATGAGAAGTGACTCTGATGACATCGTAGGGGCAGGAATACGGCTATTCACTGCACAAGTAGAAGGCACAATGCCTTTCTCAACGCAGACTTAGCTGGAACGCCGAACCTATCAACAGTTTGTGTAGACCTTAACAACAATTTTAATTAAATTTAAAATCAGACAAATGTGCACAATAAATACATTGTGACGATATAGAACATGAGTTTAAGACACAAGCTGACCAATCAGGGTGTGAATCAAGCGCTGAGACGTCATAGTTGCATTGTTTACATAGTCTTCATGTAAACAACAGTCACCTGGAACGGACTGAAAACGTTCAATAATTAGACGATTCATGCAAATAGTTTCAGAAATATGATAAATAACATCATAAAGAAACCATTCACGGCAAAATTTGATCTAAAGACCCAAACGAAACAAGGATATAAGCCGTAAAGGGACCCTGAAGTTACCGCCCAACGGCCGTATGGGTGATGAAGGAGAGAGTGATGACAGCATGCCTTATGGTCACGTGGGTGCATTTTGGCAGGAAGGCAAGGGAGGCAACTCCAGGGTGAGTGATTGCACGTTTACTTTAGGGAACTGAAAGGGATTCAAGTTTCCACTTACCATACGAAGAAGAAGGGAGATAAGCAATATACCATGAGTCAGGATAAGGAAAAATGCAATGTTTGTTTTCCCTATATTGTGTTGGTGAAGTTGAACTGCTATAGATCATTTCCTTGAAGAGAGGAAAATAATTACCTGCATGAAGCTTAAACTGTTTGAGGGTCACTTATACCCAAACATACTACATCAATGTTTCATTTCATTACCTGTTTGGCTAAACATCTTGTCTGGTGCATTGTTAAGTTTGGCTTGAAATGTCTATGGTAGATATAGAACATGAGCGCAGCCACACAAGCCAGAAATGCAGGTAGGAGAGTGAGGATGTAAATGTTCTTGTTCACTCTGCTCACCAGGTGGGTGTCTGAGAACAAAATCACAAACAAAATTTTCCTGGTGATCTTCACGGTCAAATGCCTTCGGGTATAAAGTGCGGGCATGTGAGTATTATGTGTGTAAAGAAGAATGGATTGATGGTTTTACATCAGATGAAACTTTTCATCAGTGACTTAAGTTATCTTCCTCCACCCACAAACCAAACAAAACACACACACACTGTACATTCCCTGCAGTACTAACCAAAAGACTTTTCTGTGCCCTACACTTTTCATTATCAGTTTGTTGTCTTATGCGATATAATTAACAACTGTCTTCTCAAAATAATTAATTTTACAAATCAATACAAAATTATTGCATTTGCAGTGGCATTACAAATACAATGGCAATACAAAACACATGAAGTTGTTATGACATCAAATACAATAATAACACTGTCTTTGCTGCAACTGGTGGTGAAGCTTCTAAAAGGCCTAGGGTATTAGAGCAAAGAGCCTTTTATGTGACATACTGTCTCCTACTTCTGAATTACAGCTGCTTGCTTTAAGAGCTGTACCACAGGTGAGAATGAACTACTCGCGCTGTGACATTGTTTACATCCTCAACACAACCACCCTCTACATAAGAGTTACTCCCCACAGTATCTGGCTGCATGTGAACAGAAATCCTTTATACTCTAATTCCTATTATTCAAACAAAAGACATTTCACTTACACATTACGTCAATGGGTGCCATAATGAATGTGTTATCCCTGTGATAATAAGCACATACATTTGGGGATATTATCCTTGATCATCAAAAGTATCATATCGCCTGTATCAATGAACTTGGACCAATCCGTAACTGAGGATGTGATTTCATCTATTTTTTACAACACAGCAAAAGACATCTCAAAACTAGTTACATTAAATTTTCATACACCTTCAGTGAAATATGCACATTCAATTTTTTAGCATTTAGATTATATTGTGTACTTACAATGTCACAGAAGTATTCTTTTACAAGTTTTATCACAAATATTCAAACTATTCATATATAAATAAGTGTATATCCTTGTTTAATCACATGTTGTAGTGGTCTTCTGACAGAGGGCATCCATATTTATTCAATTCCAACAAAGAGCATTGACAAACTTGCTCATCCAGGACATTGAAAGTGAACTGAATCTGGTGAAATATTGTTGGATAACACAAGGATAATTGGCTGTTTAACATGGTCTGCTTTTTGGTGAGAGGACAGTATAATATCAATGTAATATTCTTATCAACTGATAAGCATTTGCGTAAAGTAATCCACATTTGCTAAAGCAGCTTTGAAGATCTAGCTAATCTATATCTGTCAATATGTGAACCTTGTCCACAGGCATCAAGTTTATTGTCACTGAAACAATATTTTACATGGTGTCAGCTTGATGTGAGCTGAAAGTCTCAGATGTTTTGCACTTTCATAAAACCCATGGACATGAGCAGGTGGACAAACCTGGAACATAATCAGTACAAACAACGATACAAATTTTTGGCACACAATGAATTGTGGCTCATCAGATGACTGGGCAATATCTGCCCACAATGGCCACATCATGTTCAGCTAGTGGGGCATTAAAGATAGTTATAGTCATTGTCATCTACAAAATGTTTCAACTTCATGCCTGTGATAGTATGTTTTATTTATTTCTCGTGTTCAAAGGAAAAAGCTAATCCTTTAAATCTGTCATTGCTTAACTCATTAAGCCCGAGAGCCCCATCACTACTCAACACCTGGAAGCCCTCGCTGATTGCCCACTCGCTGTGCCGAGACCAATAGTGCTAGTCACACCTGATTTCCCTGGCAGGTTTCGGGGATCACAGGAAACTGTCTAGTCGTACAAACAAGTCCTGATTGTTTAATTGTGTCGTAAAGATATATGTTGAAAGAAATCAGGTGTGAATACATGTCGTGTATTGCAAGCTTTATGTAATTTTATTGCAAGTTTCTCTTGTAGACCTTTTGTCGGCTTGTACATTTATATTTTATCACAATATGCATACACATGTATTCTTTGTATGTAACAGATGAGACACACGTTAACAAATTCTCTCTCTTATATCATTGTGTGAGGTTTAAATTTACAAAACATCTATGACAATGACATACTGTAAAGAAGAATTTACTTTCATACTTTATAATCTTCGACGAAAATAGCGGTTTTGCCGATACATTTCTAGTGTTTACGAATTATTTTAATGAAAGTACTATAACGCTAGTCTGTGACTAGCACAAAGCACATTCATAGCATTGCACATTATTTCATACAGATTTAATGCAGAAAACATACGTGACCATACAAACATACATATACAAAATGTATACTACATATTCCTTTCATAGACATAAAACAAAGAGTCACGTGATAGGGCGTCATCAAATTTCCCGAATAGAACGTTCGGTATCTCAACTGTTCAATGTAGTGGCTGGTCATATGTTATCTGCGACCAATCGTATCATGAGATACCTGTCACAGAGGAAAGGACAGGTGATGGGGCGTGGGCGAAATTTCTGAAGAGCACGTTTCATCACTAAGCAGCTTGGATAGAGACTGGTTATTGGCTATATCCTTGACCAGTCGATATGCTGGGTTTCGGCTTTATCAACTCAAGCTATCATGTAACAGTTTGTGTATTGTAAACATACACATTGGTAACGATGTATGAAATATACACAAGATAAATAGGAGTAGATAGTCACTTTGGCGAGTTTATTTGTCCTCATTTTAGTGTTTTTCGATAAGTAAAACAAAGCGATTGAAATCCAACCACTGAGTTGAGGTAGTATTTTTCATATACATTTTATGCACACAACTAGTACATAAAACATAATGGTTTGCTGTACATGTAAATATAATCTTCACCTTGATACGAATGACTATGAGGGGCGTGACTCCATAAAGCAAGATGTCCAATGATATAACAGCGCATCTGTTTATTTTACACTTGTCACGGGACAAACCTTTCAACAAGGACGTAACTACATATGCATTCTACCGGAGGCTGTTATTTCAAGGTCGAAAGAGGCGTTCAATTATCTCATTACTGTAATCTCCTTGAATGATTATACGCATGTGTATCGATACCGTAACTGATATACTATCCAGCTTTTATTGACGATGGATCAATAGAGACTGAGTTGATTGATACACGTGATAATTGCACAGGATTTGATAATTACAGAGATCAAATACAAATGTTTTACACAATGCTCATGTAAATTGCATAGAAAACTGACAATTCAAATCAACATGAAACTTTCAACAGCTTGAAAAAAAATGCTTGAAATACCTTTGTATGGCTTACATGTAATAACTTATGACATTACTTCTGTCCATGTGTGACAATGTTTTGAATTACCAACTTACTGTCTTTTGTAACAAACGTAGTAAAACATTTCATTGTTGTAATAACACTGACATGTATATATGTATTCGATGCAAAGGCGTGACTTATCACTTTATATTTGCTTAGGTAACATTACGAACTTTAGATTATGGAAAACAACTAGTTACAATTCAGTAAACTTCAAATTAGTAAGTTCAATTATGTTTAATCTATTCGAGCTTGGATGTATAATTACTTGTGTTTATACATTATGTAATGATGCCTAAAAAGTAAATTCAAACTATTCTATTGTGTTTGAATTCTTTGTATGTCCTTGAAATTTCATATATTGTTTCCTATTTATTAGGTAGTTGAAGGAAATATAATTTTTAGTAACCTCTAAACCATTACATCTAATTCAATCAAGGTGCATACGAAGTATTTTAGTATCCATTCCCAAGGAAGAGTACCAGGCACTTACCTCTGTAAAAATATCATAATCCCCTTTCTCGCAGACATGCGTTCATTTGCTAAACGCTGTACAAGCCTATGATAATGATTAGCAATTGTTATCAAAACACTTTAAATACTTCTTCTGATTGATACTAAAGGTGGGATCTCTCGTAAGAAAAGCTAACATTTGCTCAGTACTGCTAAATTGGTTGAAATAATAGGTACAGTGCGATTTTTAAAAGTACAACACACATGTGCGTCTCTCGCTGAATAAGAGGTGCTTTCTGTTGATGACTGTATGTGCCCTTCGCTGTGAGAAACTGCTAATTACCTGCCCCATAAACACGTCACTCGCTGTGAGGAACTGATTAATTTGCCCCATATATGCGTCTCTCGGCCTTAATGAGTTAATTCAATCCCACTGATGTGAAGTGTTTGTTGGTGTCAGAATCTTATGTGTCCTCTTGCAACATGCCAATTGCATGTAAATGGAAAGCATGTTGCAAATGTCACATGATCAGTACTGTTACCTCCTAAATGATTCAGTAGTATCATAATTGAGATTCTACCACAAATTCCTCTGAGAGGGTTATTCCTGATTAATTAAGCTGTGAGCGTTGTGTGAAAAAATGAGTGACTTATTGTTGTATTACAGCTCCATGATGGTATTATTTATTTATTTTTACCAAATGTTATATTTATTATGCATTGTTTTCTCGAATTCATGAAGAGAAAAAAATACTAGTATTTTTTCTTAATTTGATTCAAGGAAAAAAATAGCACACCCAAAAAACACTACCGCAAATTCCTCTGTGAGGTATATTTCTGGTCAATTAAGATCCCATGGATGGTTAAAAAAGGGTTGTTTTATTGTCCGTGGTGCTTCGTTGTTGAACATAATTTTTAATTTTTTTGTGTATGTACGTATTTTTTAATATTCATTTTATTTATGACAAGAAAAAATAGCAAAAGGTTCCCCATGACCACAATCCCACAGGGAGAAATGAAATATTTTACAGACATCGTTGGTCTGCTTCCACTATGGGAAGCTGATTTCTCCCAAGGGATTGTGTCTTGACTGCCGCTCTTCCCTGAGAGCCCATCATTGAAGTTCCAATTGTGAACTCAGAGGTAAATGGAACCCTCAGTGTAGAGCTGCGCAACTCTGACACTTTGGATCATACCTGCAGTCACTCAACCGACTAAGCCATGGTGGACCGGATCGTCGCCTGTTTAATTCTTTCAGTCAACCCTGAGTGAGCATTCATTTAGCCAGTGAGGTATGCGAGTTATGTGTCATCACTACAAATAGCAAGCGATCTACAAATAAGCTGGGTCATCAGCTCTCCTGGTGAGACCTTTCATAGCTTCTGTTGTACTCAGAACATTGCATGTTAGAGTTCGAATCACGTTAGCTAACAAAACTGAATCCACATTAACATCGTGGAAACAATTCAACATTAATCTTTTATGATGTCTTTGTTCTTGGCAAGGGCTTGTATAAATTGGTCTCTTCCTATTGCCATAAAAAAAATTCTCTTCTTCGCTTAAATGCTCATGGTTTTACCAGTCTTGGTTAGAATGTCTTCCTTCATATTATGTTGTTTGGAGACTTCCGACATCACCAAACCAAACTATTCTTCGGAGATCTTGCTATCAGAGATCGCTGTGGAGATATGATCCTCGACCGTATTCAATTTTGATTCGGCCAGAATGCGAATGCTATCATGTTTTAATGCTTTACATTGCAATCAGCACGAAATGACTCTAAGTATGATTCCGTAGACTAAGGCGTGGACGAAGTTGCGAAAACTATGGAAACCGTGGACGGTTTTCGTTTGCATCAAATCAGCGAGATCAAATGACATCTCGAAAAAGAACAGGATATGTGAATCGCATTGCCCAAAAAATACCACAGAGCTGTCAGTAGCATTGATGGCGTGGACACAGCACTAGTAGCCGGCGTCGGCTTATTGGCCACCGTCAAGGCCGCATCAGTCCTACTAGGCATGGAAATAGCGTCAAGAGCCTTGGGATTGGCGGGAGTCATACTTAGAGTCATTTCACGCCAATTGCAATTAGTTAGACTCAGTTGTTTCATCTATCACCTCTTAATCCACTGTAACAACCCCCCCCACACACACACTCCCTTCCCCCTCTCTCCCCTTTGTACATCTCCCCTTTGTACCCAATTGGCTTCTATCATAAATTGTAACAACATTATATCTGCTACTGTATATCAAGTCTCTTTCATCTCATAGTCCCTCGTTTATTGTATATACATGCCTAAATGCACTCTGGCTTCATGTACATAACTAGTATATATATCCTGTATACCTGTTAGTTACTATTCACCTGACGAAGGGGCAAGAAAAAGCCCAGAAATGTTGTGTATAGAAAAAACAAGAAGTTGACATCCAGAATAGTTTGTGTTATCTCCAAGATAGACTTCCATAATAAGTGTAGAGTGTAATTTTATACTGAAATCTGGATTTAAAAAATCAAAGTGGTATGCAGGAACACCAAATATTAATGCAACTTGTTTGTTAGTGGTGTCTAACATAGAGCCTGTGTGATCTGGTATTCTCAAAAGCTGTATCATATTTGGTGCCGGAGTGGCAGCCGGAGAACGCAATGGTAGCATGTGGACTCAATGAAACGTCGCCCATGATAATACAAGGTTAGAAAATAGTCATTAATTGGTTTTCCATCAATTTATCGTGCGTAAACTTTAAACTTATGAGATGGATATTGGTAGGCAGACAAAATCTTCGCGAGCGATATTTTTTTCTCCAAGTTAATCGTGACCCCTTTGAGACTCAACGAAGCATTGACGTCTTTCTGTATGTAAATCGCGCAAACGTGTTGGTGATGTTTTCGAGGCCAACAGAGTCTTACCCTGGTTATGATTTCAACATCTTGGTCTGGCGATGCGTCCCCAGGTAAGACTTCGATATAAAGCATTGAATTTGGTGGAATACCTTGTAAGACACACCAACTGTAAACTTGTATTGGAGTTATCCAGTCGATTCGCTAGCAAAAAAACATTTTTTGGGGGGGATGAGGTTCACGAGCACACTCCTTCTTTGCGATGGGATGTCAGTAGTGATTAGAATCCCATTATTGAGGACTTTTGTAAAAAAATTATTCTTAGTCTCCGCAAACACGTAGGGTGAAACGAGGGTGGTATTGAGTAGCCAGTCGATTTGGGGGGAGATCAACGGCCATTGGTTATCATCAGTAAGGATGAACTGATACAACACGTTTTTTAAGAGACCTCGGGTCTCGACATTGTCTAAACCGCCTACATTACCATCGAATGCTGGGACCATCACCCATTTATTGTTGTTGTTGCGGACGTGATTGTACTGTACATTTTTTACCAGTCCTCCAGCCTCAACATCGTCTAAATTTCCGAGGTTACCACCGCCGCCACCGGTGGAGGTCACTTCCGCTCATCTGTGTACATTGTTTCTTAATTCTAAGGCATATAATCTGCGTTTGACACCGGGTTCATCAAACCCTCGCGTCTCCCCTAGATAGGAGATCGCTATGGTAGGACATTTTCTCAGGCTTTGCATTCCGGGGCCAAAAGCATCCGTCATTATTTGATGTATTTGATGTGCAGTGTCATGCTTATATATCCTATATACACCGGTTTATATTTGAAATGGAGATTTGGAGTTCTGTGATCATGCCCAATAATATTTACCAGTAAACAAAAAAATCACTGGATTTGTTTGATTTTGATATTTCACGCAACATGCACTAACCATTTTCACACTTGCAGAAGTGAGGTTTTCATTAAACTTAAAGCAATGATTCCACATGGATGGGGCTCCACATATTAAATCCATATAAGGATATCTTCTGTTTGGCACTCAAACACTTTCACCACTAGGCAATCCCACTATTTAATAAACTGAATACTGACTGACCATAATTGACAAGTTGGTTCATGAGAAGAATAAAATCTTGTCTTAATTTACAGTAATTTATAGTGCCTTCTATGTGATACATACGCTATAATTTCTTGCATGTATGGGAAGGTTAACAAGACAATGGACCCCAGTATGATAGGACATGGAATTCACATTTTCCCTTTGATTTCAAGATTTAGTATGATTAGTAGTCCACACCATCCAAGTTACTTTTACATGATAGAAAAATGAACTCATTCAAACAGTTTCACTTTATTGTAGCATTTAATCTCTCTTAAATTTTCTTCAATAATTTACCATAGAAAAATCCAATTTGTTTACCAACAGCTTTGTTGCAAATAATGGATGGATCAGTTGTTGGAGTGTGTATGAAAAGGTAAAACGTAGAAAAGATATGGTCACTTACTCATTGATATATTGGTATTTCCTGCCATACCAACGATGCTTTTGTAGGGAGTTCCTGAAACGATATCCACATGCTATAATCTGACAAATCAACAATTACAGCCAAATTACTAACACTGATGAAATCAAAAGAAAAAGAAGTGAGATATTTCCTTAAAACTCCCCATGTACTCTCATACCTTTTGCATTATGGTCATTGCTCACACATTGCTTTCTAATGTTGGAAAACTATTCATCAAATGCTACTGAGATTTGTGTACCTGTACATACAGGAATAATGTACTCACCCAGAACCAGCAGCACTGTGGCTGACGTTGAGCCACCTTGGGTTACAGCCTTCACTGATATCAGGTATTCTGAATCCATGTGAAGACATGGTAGTACCAGGTGTTTCTGTTGCTAGAGGAAGACAATAATTGTTAAACATGAGCAAAATCTCATGTTCAAGACCCCATCTTGGCCTCAAAAGGAAAAAAACTCTTTCAGACAAATGAGGTAAGTGAAATGCCCCAAATAGTTTAAAGTGAATAATTATGCAATTAATCTACACATAACAAAGACCTGGACAAGTTTCCAACGCCCTAAAATATCAATGGAAACAGTTATGATAGGTAAACAATTTTGCGTTAATATTCAGGGCAAATATACAAATATAAAGAAGTAGGAATTGTTCAATAATGTCACTTCATCTGCAAAAGTGAACGTAACTTGTAACAACTGTCTGTCCCAAGGTCCTGTTTCAGGATCATTCCCGTTTACAGAGTGGAATGTAGGGGGATGCTAGGTTCCTTTTACTAGTATTAGGTCGGATTGGTGGAAAAGTAGCAGTAGGAAACGGAATAGGAATTAAAGTAAGGCCAGAAACGCTTGGAAAATGCTTGTTGGCTTCAATATCAATATGATGAATTTGACACAAGATAAAAGCACATATATGATACATGTACGACGCTACCTAGTTAGATATTAAAGCTCAGATGAAAAATATACATGAGGGGTGACTTATTGACAGGAATTTTCTTTTGACATTTTAACAATATTCGTAAATATTCTAAGTACAAACTGTAGTTTTGAAATACAGATTATAATTATTCATATAGCCTCAACTAATTAAATTACATAAATGATTGTAAAAAGTTTTGGTTTTGTTAACATCTATACGTCAAAAAGATGGAACTCTTGTAGTAGTTATATTCAAAATAATTACTTTAAAAAGTCTTAATTCAAATCGCATAGATAATCTTGTTCACCCATAGAAGTTTCACTCCGTGTATGAGCATTGAACTGGCAACATGCGACTTGATATCTCTGCAGAACAATTAATTTCAAATTTATACCAGCATTTCATACTGGAGAAACAAAGGGGGAAACCTCTTGTCAGCTATGACAGGGTTTACTATAGAATGGGTAAAGCCCTTAATTTGACATATAGTCAGTTTTACAAAGTTGTAAACAAATCAGTTACCTCAGGGGTCATGTCAAAATCAAACCTGGTAGGAAACACAAACTGGATAGCTTTGATAAGGGTGCTATACGCCGTGCAGTTTATAAACTGTATGAACACAAAATCCCACCGACGTGTGCTAAAATACAAGATGAGAACAAAGATACAGTGAATGTCCTGTTGTAATTCCGCCAGAGTACTCCACCAGCAGTGATGCTGACACGTGATATTTTGAGACGGTCCCTGACATGTACTGCCCCTGCATTACATAATGCTGTAACCCTGCCTGCCAGGTTCATGGCCAGGAAGGCTAAAATCATGTGGTACTTGCAATGCAATATTATAGCTGAATGAACACGGTGCGCCTCACTGGGAGGCTCTGACAAATTACAAAGAAAACAGGATTAATGGGGACGCTCTTTAATTTGGGCACAGATAACAATATAAATACAGTTATTTACACATTTTCACGTCTATTCTTCATTATACATTTTCTTTAATTCGACATTAGATAGTTCATTTTGAGGAGTCTTTCCTAAAAGATAAATGTATACCTCACGAGTTTAAATCTTGAAATATGCTTCTGCTTATGTATGCTGATGTTCTTGTAATATTTTCTTAATCTGTTGAAAGGTTGCAAACACAGTTGAATTCGTTGTCAGCTTATGCCAGACGGTGGGAACTTGAAGTAAATATTGCTAAAACAAAGATAATGGTCTTCAGAAGAGGTGGTAAAATTAAATCATCAGAACATTGGTAATATAATGGTTGTGTCCTAGAGGTTGTCGATACGTCTACATATGTAGGAATAGTTTTTAATTATAATAACCGATTCTCAATTTACAATAACATCAGGTAGCTCTCTCTCAACCTGGAATCTCTTTTATTTGTCTTTGATTGTTATGTTGGCAGTATACTATCTTATGCGTCTGAGATATGGGGATATAATAAAGGCTTAAACATTGAAAGGTTGCATTTGGATTTTTGTAAAAGGTTATTAGGAGTTAAGAAATCAACATGTATTTCCATGGTTTGTGCCGAGTTAGGTCGTTATCCGCTCGTATTTAAAAGGCAATATAGCATGATTAAATATTGGTGTAAGCTTCTTGTGTCTGGATATAGCATTTTACGGGGTTGTTATGAGTATTTGTATGAGGAGGTGGAGACCCGTGGCGTAAAAAATTGGGCGTATCAGGTTGAAAGTATTTGTCAAACATTGGATTAAGTGAAATATGGTTAAGGCAGGAATTACCACTAGATTATCTAATAGTAATAAAACAAAGAAAAGATGGTCAGGCTATTCAGCTTATCTTTAGAGAGCTGTCCAACTCATCGAAATGTGCAATTTATAAAAAATATTATCAACCAGTGTACAGATAATGGTAATAAACGAATCGAATACTATAACAATGTTTTGAAAAGAAATCTATCTACTCCCAACATAGATTATGCTTCCCGGCACCATATCTTTAGCTTTGGCGGTACTCCCCTACTCCCTTGGAAATTAGCTCTCCCGGGAAATCCGAAAATGACATTTTATCCTTCCCGGGACATCTGAAAACTAAATTTTAGCCTTCCCGGCACGACACCGCCTGCCAGGTGGGTCACAGTATCGTTTTTTTCTTAGAAGTGTTTCTAAGTTTTTCGATATTTTACGAGTAATCATTATGATTTGGGAATGGTACATCATGATTACTCATATGCCATATTAGGTTGAGGTGGTAGTTTTGAATCTGAAATATCAACCATTATCAAATAATTGATAAAAGCATTTTCCAAGCAATTCTGGAATTATTTTAGGCTATTGACTTTGGGTAATGTTCAGTTTATACAGGGTTGGTTTGGGTGGTTTTCAGAAGAAGTTTGAAGCTGGATTGTTAAAAGGTATGTTAGGTTCCTTTTACTAGTGTTAGGTCGGTTTTGGGGAAAAGTAGAAGTAGGAAACGGAATAGGAATTAGGCTATAGACTTTAGGTAATGTTCAGTTTAAATAGGGTTGGTTTGGGGTGTTTTTTCAGAAGAAGTGTACAGGTTTTCATGTAGCTGGATCGTTAATCAGCTATGTGAGTGAAAGAAATGAGTCATTTATAAGCTGTTAACTTTTTGTTTGTATTTTCCTACCTAATGTTTTTTAATAAACTATTGTTATTGTTCTTTTTGTCTCTGTTATTTCCCAATAGGCTTTATGCCTGATTCACGAACTGGTCACTGAGTTTTGACTAGAGAACAAGTCAACCAAACGCACACCTATAAAATAAAAGTACACAACGCAAAGTCCAAACAAGGTTGATTCAACATCATGTTCCTACATACAGTACAACCAGAAATTATTGAGAATTTAAAGATTGTAAGTTTTTATTTTTTTCACTCATTACTCACGTATTAAGTGTGAATATAAGCACAACATAACTCCAGATTCAAAGACAGGTGAACAGTTAGTATTTTGTCAAGTCACCATGGGCAGCAATGCAGGCTTCAGTGCGGTGGGGCATACTACTGATCAAAGAAGTTAGAAAGTCGTGGTCTATGCTGTCCCAATATCGGACCACCTCTTCTTTCTTTTCAGCAATATTTGTCAGATTTTTCTTATTGACATTTTCCTTCATAGTCTCCAAACATTTTCTATTGGACTTAGGTCAGGGCTATAGCTTGGCCAATCTAATAACGTCATATTTTGGGTCCGAAACCATGCCTGTGAATGCTTTGAACGATGTTTCGGGTCGTTGTCCTGCTGGAAAATCCAAAAATTTCCATGGAACACGTGAGCAGATGGAAGTAAATGTCCCTCGAGAATATCTGTGTACCGCTCACTGTTCATGTTCCCTTCAAATACACAGAGGGGTGTTGCCTCTAACACATATATGCCACCCCACACATTAAATTTCGGACTGTACTTTGGGCGCTGATACAAAGTTTTTTTCAGTTTGTTTGGTCCAGAATTTCAATGTAACAGCCACACAGAACTTTCATCTGAGAAAATCACATTGTCCCAGTTAAAATTTCTATGCTGCAAGCACCAGTTCAACCTTCGCTCCTTTTGTTCAGGTTTCATGATCGGTGATGGAATTCCTCAACTTTTCTGCCAACCCATTGCATGCAGCTCAGTTCTAATTAGGAACAATTAATGTATTGTTAGTAATTATTAGTAAACTTACCTCTGGATTATGGTTGCCTTATTCCTTTGGATTCCACAGACACATACAGAATGGAAATGAATTTTTTTAACTAAGTCATAGCTATCCCTAGTGGTATGCTTAAAAGAGTTATGCAGTTATCTCCCTTGGCTGTGACATCACAACATAGTTGTTGAAAACCTCTCATGATTTTTGTGAAGAAAACCTAACATCTTCTGCATCTCCTCGTGGGGAGGTTGGGGTGGGCATTAAATCCCATAATCCAGAGGTAAGTTTACTAATAATTACTAACAATACATTAACTGTTCCTAATTATAGGCGTAAACATTCCCTCTGGATTATGGTTGCCAGAATCACACATAAGGAAGGAGGGTTTATGCAGATGATGAATACAGCAATACCACTAATTATCCCGTTATAGTCTATGACATAACAATTAGGATAACTATGACTTAGGTGATGAAATGAATTATATGGATTACCTAGATCATTCCCTGGATATATACCTAGAGGGAAGGATCATACTCGTGAGGGAGAAATATTTGGTGTTTGGAGAAGACTGACGTCACTTCCGGTCCAAGACGTCATATCCGGTTCTGTAATGGTCTATTTGACCGATTCTCATTGTAACCGGTTTCTGTGACATCACTTTCTGTTTGATTATGTCACTTCCTGTTTGATTATGTCACTTCCTGTTTGATTATGTCACTTCCGGTTTGATTATGTCACTTCCGGTAAGTGATTTCAAGTCTTCTCGTAGATTATTTAACTGGAGTAATAAGCTGCAGCGGATATAATAATTCCACTTACTGGTGATAAATATTA